CAATTCCACTTACCTTTTAATCTGAGATAAGAAAGAAAGTCTATGATGGTATGGACAACCTCCTCATCTGATATCCTCAGAGCTCCTAAACACCAGAAACAGTTATTACAAGATTTTATAAGGGTCATTATCATTTATTCTTTTAATTACAAAGCCTTGCTACAACATCTGTGAAAGTACATTATTACAAGTTAATGAACATCTAAATGGATCGTTAAATACACTTCCCAGCCTTTAGAGACTCTAATAAAGCATACAGAAACTGATGTCAGCTAACACAGGGCTTTCACACTGGTGAGCATGTTTCTTACCTGTCTTGAAATATTCTTCTATGGGCATTTCTCTCTTCCCCGCCAGCCCGTGCTTGTCACTTAGACTCCTGTGGCTGTCTATGGCATCTGATCACAAAGCACAACCACACATAATCACATTGATCATTTGAACAACCCGCTGAGAACCCGAGCCACCAGACCCTGACGCCCCGGCTGATATTCATAGACCTGCCTGTGGCACACATATGTTCCTAATGCGACAAGTCATTATCCGAGGAATATCTTTTTTGTTGTTGTTGTTGTTGTTTTTGTTGTTTTTTGGGACAGATTGAGTAGAGCAACCTGCAGGACTTGAGTCATGGAATTGCTTTTTGTTGCAATGCGAAGCACACACTCACACCCTTGTGAAAAAGAAGTGCACTTAATTGTATTGAAAATACACTACTTCATAATCTTAGAAAGTTTACTTTACTGTACGTGCATGTAATATAATATTCCCTAAATAAAAGGCCACTTAAGTGTAGGCTACTTAAATAGAGTCCACTATCACGACTGTTTAAGTACACGTTTAAAAAGTGCACTTTGTAATAATAATATCAAATTAAAAGTTGTACATTTATCATATTTCAATCATTTCTGTTGTGCTTTACAGAAGTACACTTACTTGGTGTGTTGACTAAACACACTAAAGTAATGTACTTGATTATAATTTTAACTGTAGTGTGTTAATCGATATTGCATTTAATGTTAATACATTTTAAAAGTAATTACAAATATGTTTACTTAACCACTTAAAGCACTCATAAGTATTTAATAAAACTCTAAACTATGACACATTAATTTAATTGAAAATAGCATGCGATCAAGTGTCTGAAAACATTAATTTCAGTTTGCACTTGGTGTTCTTTTAAAGTCCTAAGAACAATCTAATAGGGATAGTTCATCCAAAAAATAAAAAAAATTCATTATTTACTCACCGTTAAGTATGAATTTATTTCTTCTGATGAACACAAAAGAAGAACACACACAGTTGCTGTTTTTTTTTTGTTTTTTAAACTATGGAAGTCAATGGGGACCAGCAACTGTTTGGTTACCAACATTCTTCAAAATATCTTCTTTTGTGTTCAACAGAAAAAAAAGGGTTAGTTTAGAGCAACTTTATAGTAAGTAAATAATGACATATTTAATTTTGGGGTGAACTATCCCTTAAGTTCAGATAATTGCATTTAATATAAATGTAAACAATTATACATTTTAATTTAATTGCAAATAAAATGCAATCAAATGTCTGAAAACATTCAATTCAGTTCACACTTAAGTATATATTTTTAAAGTATATTATTTCTGTAATACAAGTATGCTAAAGTGCACTTCTTTTTCACAACGCCAGCGAATGCAAAAAGAGCAAAAATGACAGCAGAAGCTCACAGCAAGAGTGGAAAAGCAAAGGCGGAGTGGAAAAGCAAAGGCGGAGGGTAAAGCAAAAGAAAGAGTGAAATCTCCCTTAATAGTCACCATTAATGCAAGAAAATTAGAGAAAATTATTGCTTATTCAAAAAGCAACCTGCTGCGTTAGTACTAATTCATTTAAGACTAGCAGTTTCACAGTATTTACATAGCACTTCATGCATTTATACACATACCTCACATAAAATATATATCTAAATGATGTATACCAAACCGCATCCCAACAATCGTTTCAAAGCATGATAAATCCATCTTTCCAGTTTAGATGAAAAGATCTTTTTTTGATTCATGAATGGAACCATCACCAGCGATGCGAAACCGCAAATAGCACAAAGAGCAAAACATCACAGAGCAATTCCTCATCTGACTTCAACAACCTGCAGGAGCAATCTTACATTGACCAAGCAGATCTTCGCTCCCCCTTGTACTGGGAGAATCCTTAATCTGTATAAGATGATCAATACGACCTGAAACACAGGGAGCTTCTGTAACTGACCTACACAACATCAGCTCAACATCAGTGCACCCCAACACATTTCATCAAAGAGAGCGAACAGGAAACTAAACGGGTTTACTAAAGTACACCTCTAGCTCAAAGCAAAAGTAAAGCAAATAAGGGAAAAGAATGTATACATCAAAAAAGCTCAGGTTTGAGGGACAAGATTACAGTTTATGTCAAGTTTAGGCTTACAACCATGCAGGGTTAGTAATTCACTTATCATTTCCCTCTGATTTTAAGGATACGTTATGGGTTGGGATAGGGTTAAGACTACATGTTCAGACAAGAATGTCTTACTTACATGTCTTACTTGGCAAAATCACGGGTGACCATATAAATCATACGCAATTGTATTTCATAAGCAGCTGGGGAAAGGTAAAGAGAGAAGACAGACAAAAAAAGATGTGTTGGAGAACTCACGAGGACCGAGAAGATACCCAGCACTGTTGAGGGTCCATCCTCTTTTCTCTTTTGCCTGTTTCATAGAATATATAAATATATTTATATAAACACATTTACATATAAAACCCCAATTACACAAATAATTGTTTTCTCCAGCAATAGTTTGTTGGTTCAAAGTTGGTTCAAAAAATACTTTTTTTAAAATCTGTGATCCAAACTAAAATCATAGAAATATCTCACACTGTAAAAATAAATAAATAAATACATTTGCTATACCTTACATTTTCAGGTACAATCAACTTGTATACTTGGATGTTTAAGTCATTTCCACTTTAATGACATTAAACTGATTTTAATCTTGTATAACTTATTAAAAAAAGGTGGAAAATTGCTTATATTATTTTGATGAGTTAAAGCAATGTAAAAATATATGTTCTCATAACTTATTGATCATATCATTTTTTTGTGTATTTTTAGCTTAAAAAATGCCCATTCTTTACTGGTTTCAAAACTAGTGTATTTTAATGACATTATTTGTTTGTCCAAAACGATTGTTTGCCATTTAACGTTACATTTACGTGTATGCTGTTATTTTGCAGAAAACCCAATGCCATGTGCCGTTATGACAACTTGTCCATGTATGTTGTCACAAAGGTCAACGTGCAGTCTTTTTTTTTTCACGCAACAACAGTGGAAATGTTTATTTTTAATAGCGAAGACTTTTTAAGGCATGTGTTTAAACAGTACTGACTTCAAGAAAAAGAAACCCTGAGAATAAAAAAAAAGTAAGTTAAAAAAAATGTGTGACAACTTGCCCCGGTCTGCCCTTTAACAGTATTTCCCCGAGGATCTTTTCGAAATCACAACAGTTTTCAACTTTTCCGTGAATTTGTATTTAATTTGCACTAAAACATACAGTATTAAATAATGCAATGAGTAGTTTTTAATCAAAGTAACTCTTACCGCAATCACCATTCCGAGTGTTTCCGAAAAAAAAGCACACACAATAAGAGACGCACACACTCCAGCGACACACCTGTTCATCTGAAACAGCATTATTGAAGCGTTATAAAGCATACAGAACGTGCATAACCAAACATGCTAAAAGAAAACAGGGTGAATTAAGGAGATCGAGAACTTACCCTGAGTATCAGTTGGGTCTTTGGAGAGTAAAACACTAGTAAAATAATTCCTGCTTCTTCCTTGCTCGTGGTGCTCTGATCCTGCTGGAATCCCAGGCTTTTATTGAAAGGGAATGTCTCACCTCTGACGTATTTACGTCAAAATGTGAAAGACAGTCTCTTCATCATTGACGACAGAGCAAGTTACCAATCGAGTCCATGTCCATGAGATCATTTGATTAACGTCTTTTTGATTATTGTAGCCTATAAGTCACGGTTTTAGATGCCACTCAACGACCACTAGTGATATTATGGATTTTAGACATTTATCTAGTTTGACATTCCCAGCTCAGCATAGCTTCTTTTTAAAATATAAAGCGTTAAGGTTTTTAGAAATGCAACCTTTGTATTCATGCATTTGTTCCATAAATTTTTTAACTCAAGAAATGAATTGATACACACTGTAAAAAAAAATATGATCAATAAGTTATGACATGTTTTTACATTGCTTTATCTCATCAAAAAAAGTTGGAAATTGTCGAAAAAGTCAACTCAGTCAGTTTAATGTAATTTAAGTTGAAATGACTTGAACATCCAAGTTGATTGTACTTAAAAATTTAAGACAGCAATTTGTTTTAAGGTGTAGGCCTACCATTTTACTTTATGCAATATGTGGGCCATAAATGTGTAGTCCCATTCAATACAATGTATCTATACACAGTATCTAATTTGCACATTAATGTGTTCTTGGGGCAACATGTAATGAAAATAAATATCATAATGGGAAAAATAATAGACAACATTTTCATAATGGGAATATTGATATATAATTTCCTCCCATATTCACACATTACAATATTCCTGATGAACATGATTTAAGTCCTTATGTCCTCTACAGTGGACATGTATGAAATCAATGCCCTGTTTTGTAACAGAAAGTCCTATTTTGATTAGAAAACCCATAACATTTTTCTGAAATGTTGATTTATGACAAACAATTTGAAAAGTTGTCAGATTTAAATGATAATTACTCAATATTATCATATTTTTTGCATATTGAGTGCTAAATTTGATCACTAAATTAATGTCAGACATTTTTAAAAACCAAGAAGTTGCTGTCCTCTAATCATTTGGTATCTCTGAAAAGCCCTGAATGTGCTCTTTAGGACATTCAGGACAGACTTAAAACTGTGACATTTATGGTGTCAGAGAATTTCCCCACTATTCAAACCACAAGAGGCCATTTTGAAATGCTTTATTGAGTGCTGAAGTCAATATGGGTTAATTTGTTCATATGGGTGGATTGTGCATTCCAACAAAGCGCAGTTTCACAAAGCCATTCTTGCATTTTTCAAGATCCCATGACCTTGAGATACGTCCTGCTTCCAAGTAAACATACTGGCTGGCAATCACGAAAATAACAATTACTCCCAAAATAATGAACAAGATGAATAGATGTCTGATAGCTCTTCTCAAAAGGCTTTGTTCCTTCTGTTGGAAAGGACTCTCAGATTCCTTACTGCCTATTTCAGTCTGTTTGACGGTCTCCTGCATCTGCTTCTCAGTTTCTTGAGAGCCACGTTCTTGAGTGTCTGCATGGCATTTCTTCTGATGATGTCCCTGACCAATTGGATGGATGACGGAGGAAGCTGTTGGTGATGAGGTCCTTGATGAAATGGAACAGAGTGCACACAATTCATCTCCTTTCTTCTAAAGAAATCATTTAATGCAACTGTGTAGGCCTATGGTTTCTTATTGTAATAGAAAAACACCTGAATAAATTGTAGACATCTTAGATGAAATGAATACAATCTTAGATCCCAATTTTAGGTTACACTTTATTTTAAGGTGCCATTTGTTACAGTGTAATTAAATAGGCCTATTTAAGTACTGAGTAATATTATTTAACTACACTTACTATAGGGATAGGGTATGATTTGGTTGAGGCCGGGTTAGTTGCATGTAAGTCAATTGTGCATAATTTACTGTATACTTTGGTAAGTACATGTAACATGTAACAAGGACACTAAAATAAAGTGTTACCCAATATCATTAGCACATATTCAGCAGTGCATCAATGAAACGTACTCATATAAAGAGGAAAAGGAAGTTTACCTTGCAAGCTGTTCCTGGGTTAAATTTAGGTTCGTCGTTCCATGCATACTAATGAGTAATCTGAAAACCGTTCGAGAACGGCAGTGACAGCCGGCCTTGACTTTGTTCATGGCCGAAGATGTCTCAATGACCTATGAGATAGACATTGTAATATCATTCCAATTGTCATTCAGTATAGCTATAGTTTGAATTATAAACTGACTTTCAGGGGGTTCACGATTATTTTAAAGGCATTTCAAACGCTAAAAAAACGGGTCATCTAATCTGTGGAAGTTCGTCTCGCGAAATGCATTGCCCATTTGGGTCAACTGAGATAATAAAAAAAAAAGACTAGAACATTTTGTTAGAATTTAGATGCGTAAATATAAGAGACTGTTTACAGTAGCCATAACTTATTTGTCAGGATTAATCGACGTATTCAGAAACTTTGAAAGCTTTATGTAACTTCTGTCTTTACTGAAACTTTTGAACCCTGCTTGACATAGGCTATTAACGTGTAACGTAATATTATTTAAAAAAAAGATTCCTTCGCTTCCTGAATTCAGTTACGTTTACCTCAAATTCAAACGAAGACATCAGAAGAGAAACAAACCTAATAGCCCTAGTTAATGTGTTCAGAATAAATCAAACTCAGTCACTAGCCTCTTGCTTTTTCAAGTCCGTCTTCTGTTGCATGTCTGTTCCGTGTTACGGCTAAGGGACAAAACACAAATCACTAATTTGACGAATGATCCCGGAACATAATTCAAATTCATAAGACTAGTGTTGCCATGGCTACCTTATCACCGCAGTCGAACGCGACATTCTCACCCACCCAAGTCAACTGAACCTATCAGACTAAACACTAAACAAATTTGTCATCCATCTTATTGGGAATATTGAAACGTTTGATAACACGTCAACTCCTTCCTAAAACATAAAGACATCTATTTTAATCATATTGTAATTTACTGGAATACTTGTTTCTGATTGGTCAATAGCATCATCTCATCACGCCTCTATTTATAGAAGCCCTTTCTTTTTTTTTAAATAAACTAAAATCAATATTTATTTATGCATTTATTTATTTACAAAGATTTTTAATTGGCTTTTAAGATGCCGTTCATTTTTATTTAGATTAACTTTTTTTAAAGTAGGCCAACAAATCAACTATTTTAAAAGAACTAGCCTGAGGGAGTAGCTTCTCTCAGATTAGCGATTAGCTCATATGAGTGATTAGCCTCTCCTAGTGTGAGCAGCATATCAATTTCAGACTATTTTTCGCATTTATTCGACAAGAACTGAGTGTTGACTTTTTATGTCCTAAATAAGGCCCATGTTAGCATTTCACAGCCATAATTACACTCTCTTTGTCCCTCAGGTCTATTATGAGATCACAATAAAGAAAACCATGATTTGACTCATTATCATATGACGCATGATGACCACAACTGAATACTTATTACACTTATCCGATTTGTGGTGGACTTTCTTTTCTTATCTGAAGAAGACTCCCTATAGTGATTCAGATCCAGTATATATTCAGCTATTTTCAAATTAGCATTAGCCTTTTAGTCATGGTTAGCAAATGAGCAAAAACAAACAAATTCTCTATTCTTGTCACACGTTTGTTCTTTTTATGTGTTCAGATTTGTCTCTAGGGAAACCAACCTAGTATAGGTACCATAAACCTTTTTATTTTAGTAAAACAAGTTTATTTTAGAGTCTATTAACCGGCAGAGCATTTCCTCCTTTTGCGCCATTTAACATTATTGTCACTTTTGATGGATATTGTGGTTCCACACAGCTGTCAGTTTCTCACCTCTGCTGAGCATAAATGCTTGCTGTGTTTCCGATGGAACCAAAGATATACACTCTGCTTGGATGTCACGTTGTGTTTAGCTATAGGGACTGGATGAAATAGAAGTGCAAGACAAGGTAATGTGATTCAAATGAGAGTATTTTTGTCAAAATGTCATGAGGAAAATTCGGGCTTTACACTCGTAAAAATAAAGTTTCCAAAAATGTTTTTTTTTTTTATAGCGATGCCATAGAAGAACTATTTTGGTTCCCCAGAGAACCTTTCAATGAACAGTTCTAAAAAGAACCACTTTTATATTATTTTTAAGAATTATTTTAAATTATCTTTAAATATTTTTTAAACTTTTTTTCTCCACATTATGTACATTTTGGGCAAGTTCCATGGATGTTAAAGGTTCTTTATGGAACCACATGCTAATAAAGAGCCTTTATTTTTTGAGAGTGGTATAGTTAACGCATCAAATGAGGTGCAATAGGAGGCTGAACAATAAAGTTAGCGCTCAAATTATCTGTCACACACAGTGTTTCTCTTCGTGGTCATATGCAGCCCTGGAAGTATGCATGTTGATTTCATGAAGTGACCATGTGTAAATGCTCCCCAATAAACATCTTGTGGTTTTTGTTTGTCTTTGTTTCAGACTGATCTACGGTGGCCGAGACAGCTCAACGCGCTGCAACTGAAGCAAACACATGCAAATAGAGAAAAACGTGTGCAAAGTATTTGGAGCACACGTGTGTTGTGAAACTGATGAAGATGTTTTCTTAATTTGCAGGTGTTTTTTTTATTTGCACGCGTTTTTTTTCTATTTGCATGTGTTTTTTTCTATTTGCATGCGTTTTATTTTATTTGCATGTGTTTTTTTCTATTTGCACGCGTTGTTTTCTATTTGCATGTGTTTTCTTCTATTTGCATGCGTTTTCTTCAGTTGCAGCGCGTTGAGCTCTCTCGGCCACCGTATCTCTCGGCCACCGTACTGATCTCATGAAATGGCGTATGTATGACACGCGAATTCGTATTTCTATTTTTGGCGTGCTATCAACACGCATAATCGCTTTTCAGCGTGTTTATCAACGCCGTTGACTTAACGTTACATTACTGTATATATAAATATATGACCTACCCCAGCCCCGTCCCTAAACCTACCCGTCACTGGGGTTAATACCATCTATGAGTCTTCCCCTACCATCCTAGGAAAAAAAATATCGCTCCACAGACGTAGATATACTTTTTGCTTCGTTTCGCTCGGACATTTAACGGCGTACACATACACGCGGAATCTTTAGTAGGCCTCCTTCGGTCGTTTGTCGACCATGGGTATTGCGCCCTAAGAGTTCGTAGTGTTGCGACTAAAACAGCATCGTCGGTGGCTGGTGAGTCCAATGCGGGAATGACAGTCTCTGCTGCACAAAGTGCAGATGTAGTTGGTCGTGGCTTGATGTCCGTGTGTGCGTGTCTTCCGACTAGTTCTTCTCTCCTCTGCTAGCTTCAAGATCTTCTCCTCGCCTGTATTTAGCTGTTTCTTGAGCATACAGCGCCAGCTGCTGCGGTTAGCTGCAATGTCCTCCCAGATATCTGTATTGATGTCCAAGGCTTTCATGTCTTGCTTGCAGACATCTTTGTATCTCAACTGGGGGCGACCTTTGGGTCTTTTGCTGTATGCGAGTTCACCATAGAGGATGTCCTTGGTGATCCGCCCATCTTCCATACGGCGCATGTGGCCAAGCCAGCGCAGTCTGCGTTGTCTGAGCAGCGTGTACATGGTGGGGAGGCCGGCACGGGCGAGCACCTGGGCGTTGGGCACTTTGTCTTTCCAGCTGATACCAAGGATGCGGCGAAGACATCGCATGTGGTAGCTGTTCAGCTTTTGCTCTTGCTTGGCATATGTTGTCCAGGATTCACTCCCGTACAGGAGGGTGCTGACTATGCAGGCTTTGTACACTGCCATCTTGGTTTGGGTGGTCAGCTTGGGGTTTTCCCAGACGCGAGTGGTCAGTCGTCCTAGAGTTGTTGTAGCCCTGCCGATGCGTTTGTTGATTTCGGCATCTAAGGACAAGTTGTCGCTGATGGTGGAACCCAGGTAGGTGAACTGGTGGACCACTTCAAGTTCGTAATTGTCGATGGTAATGATAGGTGGTGTGTCCACATCTTGGCCCAGCACATTCGTCTTCTTCAGGTTGATAGTTAAACCGAAGTCTTTACAGGCCCTGGAGAATCTGTCCATCAGACACTGTAGATCTTGTTCAGTGTGAGAGCTGACTGCTGCGTCATCGGCAAAGAGCGTGTCTCTAATGATGGATCTGACGCACCTTGGTTTTTGCTCTGAGTCTTGCGATGTTGTAGAGTCTGCAGTCTGATCTTGTGTGCATGTACACCCCTTCGGTTGAATTCCCAAAAGCATGTTTTAGGAGAAGGGAGAAGAGGATTCCGAAGAGGGTTGGGGCAAGGACACAACCTTGCTTCACGCCGCTTTTGATGTCAAATGGTTCAGACATGCTGCCATCGTACTGGATGGTTGCCTTCATACCGTCATGAAAAGATCTGATCATGCTATGAAGCTTCGGGGGGCATCCAATCTTCAGGAGGATGTTGAAGAGCCCATCCCGGCTAACTAGGTCGAAAGCCTTGGTCAGGTCTATGAAGGCGACGTAAAGGGGCTTCTGCTTTTCCCTACACTTCTCCTGTAGTTGGCGAAGGGAGAAGATCATGTCCACTGTAGAACGATCTGCTCGAAAGCCACATTGGGACTCGGGGTAGACACGTTCTGCCAGCTGTTGAAGTCGTACTAACAGCACTCTAGCATACAGTTTGCCCACAATGCACAAAAGGGAGATGCCTCTGTAGTTGTTGCAGTCACTCCTAGCGCCTTTGTTTTTGTAAAGGGTGACCATTTTGGCGTCTCTCATGTCTTGCGGAACACCGCCTTCACTCCAACACTGACAAAGGATGTTAAATAGAGGCTGCAAAAGGGTGGCCTTGCAGTGCCTGATCAGGTCTGGGGGGATGCCATCATTCCCAGGGGCTTTGCCGCAGGCTAAGCTGTTGATGGCCTTGCTGAGTTCTGCCAGTGTTGGTTCAGCGTCTAACTCCTCCATGGTGGGCAGAGGATCGATGGCGTCCAGTGCTGAGTTGACAACGATGTTCTCTCTGGAGTAGAGCTCGGAATAGTATTCCACCCATCTCTCCATCTGCTTGGTTTTGTCGGTGATCACCTTTCCGCAGCTGGTTTTCAGGGATGCAGTTTTGCTCTGAGTTGGTCCGAGAGCTTTCTTGATGCCCTCGTACATGCCCCTGATGTTACCTGTTGCTGCTGCCTTCTGAATG